TATCGAGGACGGATCCGGCCACCTGAAAATCCGCTCCCTCCTTCACCATTGCAAGTGTAATTCGTTGGCAACGCTCGAATGTGTCTAGAACAAATCTTTGAACGCAAGCAATAAGAATAGGGGCAATCGTCATCATCCGATTTGTATTGGTATAAGCCATGCATCCGTCCTCCACTCACAGTTGCAGAATCGATTGAAAGGTGTTATATGATCATGACCTTCGAACAGAAACTGTATTGTAGTAAACATAGTGTGTTGTGCTATTCCTGTAACCTAAAAACAACTTCATTTGCCCAGCGCTTTTTCTTCACGGTTGTCGTTTTTGCGACAGGGTCCCTAACAACAGTGTCATTCTCAGCGAGGTATTAAGGGAGAAGGAGCGAGCGATAGGCAGAGGAGGTGCCTTTGCAGCGCGTGCGCACATGTGGCAGTCTTCTTTGCGGGGATGCACTTTCATTCTTTGTACTGCCTTCAAATACGCCCTTCTCATGAAGGTGGAGGAATGGAGCGACTGAACCTGCAAAGAAAATTTAATATCATGTTTTTTCACATATTTTCATTTTCTGCTGCGCTATACCCTCTTACCTATCTGCACCACGATACCACTGCTGTTACTGACCCCCAAGAGTACGACCCCCCATGACCCAGCCCGACAGGTACGACCCCCCTGTCGAGGATTTCCTCGACCGATATTCACCCTGCCCCTCATCGTATATTCGCGTGACCCACGGGTCAATCCTATGTTGCGACAAGTACCAACGGGGAGGGGGGGTCGTATTTTGTTGAGATTGTAGGTGGGGGGATCGTATTCGATGTAATGCTAGAAGTGATGGGTGAGTTTAGGCGTGTAGTGTGAAGGAGCAAGAGAAGAGGGAGAAAAAGTTTTCGTTGCAGTGTACGTATACACCTCCCCCCCCCCGCCCTGCTCGACGGCTTTTTGGAGGGAAAAGTGGGTGGAGTTAGGTGTGTCGACTGGTCTCAGAATTAAATACTATAGAAACAGCGACCATGATGGCGAGGGTGGTGAAGGGGGGGGGTCGTGAAATTTTTGATTGGTAGGGGGTCGTAAAATTTCGGAAAAGTCGCAACGGTAGGAACGACCCTGCCCTCAAATTGTGCCCGGTCCACCTGATCTTTGATTCCTCGGCGAAAGCGTATGTGCCTGATCTTCGATTAGTGATGAAGTGCAAAACTCCTGGTTTTCTTTAGCACGTGCGCTTGTCTGCGCCTTGGATGAAGTGATCGTGTACCCATCCCTCCTGCGTGAAGCCTAATTTAAAGCCCAATTCTGTGAGGCGTAGCTTAATTAATGCAGGAAGAGTTGCGGCGAAATCGCAGGATTGGGCGCAGTCCCATATTCTTCGCTTTCTTCTCAACAATCTTTTGACGTTCTTGATATTTGTAGGGATCCTGATGTCGTTGCGTCTGTAGTATGCTTCCCTTTCTCTGAAGATTATGTATATCGCTTCCCTTCCTCTGAAGATGAGTCAGTGATCTTATTGGTCTCCCCACGTGGATACATCTGATTGGCACATTCAGGGCTGTTCGCTCACCTGAGCACGAATGGGTGAGACATCGGAAAGCGGTTTGACGGCTATCTTTTTTGATAGGCTCAATTATAGGACGACACGCTTCGCATTTTATCGGCAATCAGATATGAAGACGGCAGCAGGAAAAGGATTCAGACCAACTGGCTGCGTAAATTCTGCAGACTGTTCCAGGTCGACCATTTTCCGGACCAGCTGCCATGTACTACTCTCCCAGCCCGCCGTCGACGAAAAATGGCAGTGCCGGCTTCGGGAGAGTAAGAACCGGTGGGAACTGGGCGCATCCTTCTGCTTCAGGACGTATGGGCGGGTGTTTTGAGAAGTTTTCAGCCCGCGCAACCCGAAGCAGAGCTTTGTTCAACTTTGCGGCTCGCTCCCACGCGAGAAGAAGGAAATTGTGCCAAGAAGACAACGGTGCGATCTCGTTAGAAGAACTGTGGAGCAACACACGACCGGTCAGGCGAAATCGTGAAATGTGATATTATCTATCTCGTTATGGCATTGTCCACTGAGTGACGCCTCGAGCCGAACGCAGATGCGTGGGCTTTTGGAAACGAAGTTACTACTGGATATTCCTGTTGAAGTCTGTCCAACCGCAGCCTTCTACCCTTCTTATTCCATTCCAACCCGCGAGCCTCCATATGAAACGCTCCTGCCGTTTTTTTTTGTGCCAGTCTTGGCGCTGAAGTCGCCAGCGATGCCCCTGAGAAGTATGGTTTTCCTTGAAAGAGCATCTCCCATATTACTTTGAAATGTTTAGGACATGCTTAAATTTCGACTTACCTTCTGATGGTGATCGGGAAGAGAAAATAATGAGATAGGGATAGAGAAACTTTGTGAAAAGAGCTTGAAGGAACGAGACGGGATTGAATTGAAGCTCTTTTTTGTTTGTATATTAGACAAGGAGTACCTCGAGGAACATGAGGAGGAGAAAAAGCAAAAAGCGCAAAAAAAAAACACTAAATTTCCTTCATAAGGCCGCTTGGTATAACGTAGAGACACAGCTGCGAGAAAAGGGAGAACGCGAAAATAGTAAAACGTCGGAAGTGAGAGGGCGCAAAGACCAGGTTCATGGTTGGTGGGGAATGGCAGCACGGCAGCCCACAATACAACGCCTTAGCGCCGTTGCCTCGCACTTTAGTCGTGACAGTGTCGTGTCTTCTGCTTTTGAGGACCCCTCTTTCTCACTCTAGAAGGGACTGGCTCTTGGGACCTGACCCCGGCTTGTGGCTTTAAAGTTCAAACAGAAAAGAGGAGGGAGAAATTTTTTAGATTATACTTTTTATCGCCTAAGAACTCACGATTCAGCGAAATAAGTCGCTCCAGTCCTGAAAACATTGATAAGTCGGTGATAGTCATGTTATCGAAATCGATATTGCCATAAATGTTGCGTATACGCTTCAGTGTTTCCACTTCTTCTCCGAAAATGATCGATGGCTATAATAGAGGAGACCAATCAGGCTCGTACAGTTCGAATCCAGCGTGGTCAAGTCATCTGTCACTGAGTTGAAAATGCACATATCCGGTGGCAAATTTTCTGAAATTAACATAACACTGAAATTCTCCAACAAGCTGATGGCCCATTATGCATAAATTCAAGAATAATTGCTAGCACACGTAGATATAGTTGTTATAATAATAATAATTGAAGAATGCGTTAATGGAGTGAATAGTAAAACACTATAGACACTCAAGTGCTGAGTGTCGTTTTTATGGCCGTATCTCCAACTAATGTCATAATTAGCAATGAGCTTTCTTTCATAATTTAGCCATATATTTATATAATCGTTGGCCATAGAAAATTCATTACACGTGAACTAATTTTTGTAAATGCATTTAACCATATTAGTTATAATGAAATTCTCATAGCAATTATTCCCCATTAATACTTTTACAAAATCCGTTAATTTATTGATAATGTCAGATACCGAACTCAAGTTAGCTATTCGAAGCGTTACCGCAGTATACTGGGTTGCGCAAAAAAGAGAAATTGACCACAGATTTTAGGGAGCATTAATCACACTTGGCTGAAGGCAAGCCGAATGCACCCTACTTTATATTAAAGGGCAAATTCCATTTCATCAGCAAGCATTATAATCGCTTTCTGCACCAATTACATTACTAGAATTTGCCATGGGAAACTTTTTTGCACGGTTCGAGCTCAACTGGTTCTCGACAGATCATAGACTTTCACAACGTTATCTGGAAAGCTGGCACTAAGGGGTCTTGCATAATTTGGAGCTGCTGCCCCTAGAGGCAATCCGTCAGTTAACCGATAAAGAATCGTTTCGTAAGCAGCATGCAATCTGGACCGCTGCTTGAGGCCTTCTTGAGCTCAACGGTGATGAAAGATGACGGCATATTTTGAGAACGGTGAGAGCGGTGGAAGAAGGCCTACTTCTACTTATGGGAGGACATCTGAGGGATATTTCGCCGTGAAACTTCTACCAATAGCGGCATCCTGTCGCAAATGAAAAGCTTGATGACGAGCGCATAGGCAAAAGGCTCTCTTTTTCGGCCACCCCTGTATATGTATAACTCAGCCTTTGAGTTAACAGATATATTTGCGTCATTACGTGGAAGTCTAATTACCTTGATTTAAAATCGTCCGTTTTATCACGCAGTCTAGTTAAGACCTTATCGTTTGCTATATTTATAGTCAAATCTTGCTGATTTCAATATTACTATATATATTATTTGTATATTCATTTGTATTATATATTTGTCACTCAACCCACTTCGTGACAAATGCGGCTCCTATCGCACAATTGTAAAATGGGTGCCTCCACGCTAACAAGACACTATCAGTCTACAGATTTTGTAGTTCTTTTCTTTGCATATGACCATCAATTACAGTAGCAATCTAGCATACCTGTGGGGAAAGCACCATTGATTTGAGTAGCTGGTTCACCAGTGGACAGCAGCGCTTCAATTTCTTCAAACGTTATTTCAAGAATTCTATTGTTCTGAGATGACATAGGCCAGTGAGCTTTGATTTTAGTCAGTTTCGGTAGGCCTAGTTCGGTGAGATAGTTGTTATTGTAGATGCTGATAGGATCCTGTTTTTTGTCTGAAATGTGAAAGCGTTAAAAATACTCCATGATGGGCAAAGCTAAAAGTTTAACTTCTTTTGCAGACCCCAAAATTCTAGTGATGGTGTATTAGGGGGATGCATTGTAGCATTGCTGGTGGCCATGGTCATTGAGCATCTTTCATAGGTGTTCTACCAAAGGTATATTTGAATGTGCCCCGGTTGAGCTGCTATTTCCGAAGGTATAGTTTGACGTTACATCCTTTCGTGACGCCTGCCTTCACCACAACCGTTCAGAAGATTACATAAAACCATGGGACTAACCAGTGATTCCGTCTTCATCAATGCTTATGACTTTGATTGTTTTGCAAGAAATCCCGTATTCAGGACAAAGTGATATTCGGATTTGGTAGCTGGTACGGTACCCCGACAGGAGGCCCGTCGCGCGGCAAGAAGGCAGAGTCAGCGGACGAGTCGCGCGCGTACTGTAGGGATTTCGCGTCAAGTTAAATAGAATGTTCCACTTGTACGTCCTACATCGCACATCACGCGACTCGTCCGCTGACACTGCCTTCGTGCCGCGCGACGCTCCTTCTATCGGTTACCCAGCTGGTCAAGTCCACCCACGCACATCATTTTCCAGGCTTGGCAGTTGAAAGCTGCATGAGCGCTGAGACTGCACTTACCATTAGACTTGGCGCTGTCTTCATACGGCTTTTAAATGTTAGGTCCGAAAAATGATGTGCACAAACAAGAGTGAGCTTGTCAAAAGCTTATACGGTCGTAGAGCAGGACCAGTAGACGGACCGTGTGCTTAGACGGATGGCGTCGAACTGAAAAATTGACAGACATTTTCGTCACGATTGACCAGGCTTTACAATAATACGCCTTCTAAACGAGTAGGGCACAAAGAACTACGAATCGGAGCATGATGGACAAGCTCGAGGTCACGAGGTCCTCGGTGGTTCGTGGACCACTACAGCATTGATCGTCACGTTAGTCGGCAGCGATCTTGCATTCTAGGAGCTACTGTCTCCAGAAAATTGTTTATGACTCAATAGATCTCTAAATTGTGTACCCGCTTCAGACCGGATCCGTTACACTAGGTCTCGTTGAACTAGACGGCGATGGCGGACGACTTCATATTTCGAAGAAATTATATAGAATACAATTCCAAGCGGAGGTGCGCCGGTCATGTGTCTAGACTCACCCATGATCGCTGGACAAAGAGAGCTGGTACCCAAGGGGAATAACAGGCCCATAGCAGACCCCCACCCGATGGGCAGACCCTTGCGTAAAACTTTCTCCGTTCCGCTTCATTGAAGCATAAAAAAGGTGCTAACTTAGTTGGGGGGGCCACGCGGCGGCGCGGCAGTCTGCTCACCTGGGCCCTCTCGAGCGAGACAGTGTAAACTCGAACATTCCAGCTTTTCACGCATGTCAAGTGACTGCCCCCACCCCCCACCCCCTAGACTGGCTACACTCCCCCTGGCCCACGGATTTCCGAACATGCCAGGCGAGCAGACTGCCGCGCCGCCGCGTGCCCCCCCCCAACTAAGTTAGCACCGAAAAAACAGAAGGCAGAATGTGCAAAGGCTTTCTAAGATTGGCCGGCCCGATTGGTTCCACGGTCTATGGTCTCTTCGTGAAGACACTCCTCTGAAGGAAGTGATCGCAACGGTTGGGGGGCGATGCGGTTGCGCAGGTGTCATCGAGAACCATTGGTGGACTAGACGCCTCAACGGCCCGCTCCGAGCACCTTTTAAGCAACACCCGTCACGAGATAACATTGCAATGACCGTCAAAACGGACCGCGTCCCTCCAGCCACTTTGATCTCTGCCTTAGATACATTGACTGACAGCGGCGCAACTATTACGCTGTCTTTTTTTGGCCAACTTGAGCACTGCGGACCTTATGTTGCCACCCTACCACTAACTTTTATGTGCATCTTGCTCGACATTTCTTCTTTGTTGACCTATTTTTATGAGTTCCTTCATGCTCGCCGATATTGACAGCGACTACCGTCTTCGACTAAACCTATAATAAGTATACGCAAGCAGGTCAGTGGTGTTGAATTTCTCGTTGGCCGCGCATAGGGTCGTTCTAATCGTTGGTAATGTTTTGCAATTTTACGATCCACTCCCCCAAGATGGAACCTTGGTAGCGACCCTTTTACAACTCATCCACTACCAAACTCGCCCACTTTTCCACCAAAGTGGCCGGGGAGGGGCTATAAAACGCAAAATTTTTCTCCCGTGCGCTCCCAACTCACCTAGCCCTACTACTCGTGGAAACTCGAGTTTCACCACAAACTGAAGCGGATACGACCCCCCTCCAAGCTAAACCAAGTACGACCCCCCCGTTGGTACTTGTACCAACGTAGGGTTGACCCAACTTGGGCGTCTGACATAACTTCGAACATACCTCCGCAGTTGATTTCCTCAAGATTTCCAAGAAATGAAAGGGTTTCAAAATTTGTTGTCTCTACTCGCAAACAACCAGATAATTTCTTCACAGAGGAGAGAACTGCTAGTCGTTCAAGTGGGATCGCTGAAAATGGATATAATTAGCAAATAGTATTAGTACCACACAGTTGATTATGTATAATTCATTGTATATATCGCAAAGGGCGAAATGGTGAACGAAAATTGCAAAATTACACGAATTTGTCTCACCTATAAATCGATAATCCAGACTCATACTTCATAATAGAACGGTAAGCAGGGAAAAGTTTAGGTTAACAGTGTAAGGCACTTGATACACAACACGGGCGGAAGTGGTGTAGTGGCAAGTGGCACGCTTACCACGCGAGCGGTCCGGGGATCAAATCCTGGGTCGTGAGTCGCCCGGGCCAACCAAGCCTTCCATCCCGGGGTCGGTTAATTGGTACCAGACTTGTCTGGGAGGATAAAAACACTGACTTGTACATCGGCTGGCCCCCGCAAGTCATTGTATAGGCCACATCGCATTCAAACGCCACTACGAATGTACAAATGGAAGTAGAATGCGTGCCGCATCCCAAAAAGGGATTGATCAACGGCAAATGCTTTATCCTTTTTTATTATATGGAACTCCTGAGCCCTTGAACTACCCCTTCATAGTGCTTTCCCAGTGCCTGCCGTCTGCCAACCGCATGATAGAATACGCAGGTAGTGTATGTAGCTATGGTAGTGTAAGGAAAAGATTGAAAACCTGTATTTTCGAAAATTATATCTCCATGAATAAAAGTCAAATTAGGTGGTACGTCCAGAATAGAGGTGAACGTCAACGGAAAGTCTAATTGAAATCCTGAAAAGCATAATGAAGTGCTGAACATTTTCAAAGCCTAAAAATTAAGAACTTTGCAAAGATCCCACCGCCACAATCCACTTTATTTCTCGACATTCTCCAATGCCCATCGAGCACTCGGTCCAACCGAGCGCAGAGCTTGCTCACATCGAGCAGAGGATTTCGTTGCACTACCACCATTCCATCAGAGGAATTCAATTTATCAAGATTCACATGCGTTAGAAAAGCATTATCGACAACCTCCAGCACGTCTGAACAACAACACCAACAAGCTGATTTCCTGGAGTTGGCTGATTACTTTGGAGCAGGTGAAGGAATAGGAGCTCTTCGGATTCACTCACACTCACTTTGGCACATACAGTAGCGGTCTAAAGTAACGTGTTTTTCGCCACCCAGGACCTTCAGTATTATTATTCCCCCTTTCCGCACAGCTCTCGAAGTCGATATACAATGTTTTCCGGTGTTTTCATATGCTCAAACCTTAAAGAATTAGTATGTTCAAAAGAGAAAGTTTTCAAGGCCGCCATTGATTTTTTCCGGCAAACAAAACAGAAGCAATCGTTTTGGCGAACACTTTTGACCGCTGCTGTAGCAATCAACCTTATTGGAGGACGATAATTGCCCTATGTTACTCAAGTAATTCCATAAGTGGCGAATTTGGAGCTTATTATCCACATATGTTTAACATACGACCCTCACCACTGGGGTGCTGGGGAGGTCACGAGAGGCCATCTCACCGCTCTCAAATCCAACACACGCTAGAGAATTTGATTCTGATACTAGGGAGGCATTCCTACTCATGGTCAAACCAGCCCTCCTCCTCAAATAACTGCCGTCGAACTTTTGACAGGAGACAGAAGGTTAACATACAAGCAATGATACGAAATGTGCTGCCATTTCATCTATTCCGTGCACTAGTGCGGCAAATCTGACAATATGGGTACCCCCCAGGAGGCCCGTCGCGCGGCAAGAAGGCAGAGTCGGCGGACGAGTTGCAGCGCGTGATGTGCGATGTAGGACGTGCAATGGGACACTTCTATTTAACTTGACGCGAAATCCCTACAGTACGCGCGCGACTCGTCCGCTGACTTTGCCTTCTTGCCGCGCGACGGGCCTCCTGGGGGTACCCGACAATATTACCCCAACCTCGAAATGTAACCCAATGTCAATGAGGTCATGGAAAGTTCTGTAATTCAACCCGATATCAACGTCACCTTAATTAATTCCTCCGAAACTGCTGTCGAGCAGAGAGGAGGTGAAGGGTGTAAAGGGATTCAAATATGACCATAACTTCTCAAAAGCTCCAAACGCGACCACCTTCTCGCACAAAGGCGATTACGACCCTTGTCAGCTGCTTTTTCAGCCGGCATAGCCCAGCTGCCCACCAACTTTCCGATAAGAAGCATTTTGACATTCGAATAATCTTTACGTCACTCTTTTTATTGTTCCTAGCGCTAATGAGCCGACATGGTCCGTTGAATAATTTTTACGTCACTAACTGCTTGAATAGAAGGTGTTCATCTCTTTAACATTCTTCAAGAAGGTCAGTCGTTTCAGATTCGTCCTTTCCACCAATACTCTTCCATATATTGTAGTGATATTCCGAAATAGCTTCTCGAGTTGACCTTCCGTAAAATTTGACGACGGATCTATTGTAATTTCGCCTGTTAGGGTGGTACATCGAGGAGCCCAAAGACTTTCTTCAGGCATCCTGGAAAGCGTATCCCAAAAGTAGCAGTCGTAGTCGATTTCAATGTCTGAAATGGGGAAAATTTCCTTCATAGAATTATCTGAATAGTTGTTGCTGTTCTGGGAATGTCACGGGGTACAACTGGGAGTCACCTTGAACTGCGCTTTGCAGTTGCAAATTTTCGCGATCGCTTTCAGCTGTTGACGGATCTCGCGCCGTTCGCCTTGCCGAAAATATGCAACCCCTCCCCACACAACACACCACAAATGGATCAATCACCGAAGGCGGAAACTCCACCGTTTCTGCCTAATTCTCATAACTTTCGTAAAACTTTCACCAAATCCGTCAGAAAACCCGTCTAAACACAACCCCTTTACGAACTCCATCGACCTTCGTTCCCACTATGATACCCTTGCTCAGCTCGGCAAAGCAGCCCTCAAGTCGGCCGCTCAGTGGCGAAGACGTCCGCGCGGCGTGCACTTCTGTAACACGCCAAAGTGTGTACCGGGAAAAAGGTTGATCTGTGTTTCTTCCTAAAACTTTATGAAGGCCATAGGTGGCTCTAAACTAAATTCCTCGTGGAATTCACTTCATATAAAGGTATACCTGAGAAAACGCATTGGCAGCAGCTCAGAAAGCTGACGAACGTCCTCTTGTTTAATCAATAGCTGTCTTAATAGGGTACAGTTAAGTGGTTTCACACGGTGCGATAGGCCTCAATTGTGCCAAACTTGCGCGTAGCAAACTAAACAACAATAGCTCTTCAGCGTCGAATTGAGCCATAAGCCTTATCAAAAGGGCTAACACACCTTGGGTTGCGACGATGAAAAAAGCCAAATGAAAAACAGCTGCTGACAATAGGAAGTGTAGCATGAGCGCAACGCTTGTAGAGATTCAAACGTTTCACAGGAGTCTGAAAGGACGCGGGGAGTAAATGAGGTGAGAAATTGACACGGTTGAGGTGTTCTGAAATTGGTACCTTGGCGAGTTTAATCACCTCCTACACCTAATGGCGTCAGCCATAATGTGTTAAATAATGACAAGCCGTGCAAAGACTAAAATTCGTTTCCTTGTCGAGCTACCTTTTGATTCGGAGACAGGGAAGATGGTTTCTGGAAATTTCTTCAAGTGGATGGCTCGAAATCCTAACAAATACGCATCTTAGAGTGGTCCTCCTATTTCCATATCAAGTTATGAAGCCTGTTGCAACATGCAATGAGATTTACTTAGCATCTTATACTATGGTTAGAGGTCTTCACTTAGCTTTTTCTTATCTTCTAGCTGATCAGACAGTCATACTTACATTTTTAGACGTTCGAACGACTTATCAGTTACATCTCCAGGCTATGCCTAATATCCCCCGCTTGCCGACGTCCTCGCCTGCACAAAAGCCCCTCGTACAGACGATCTCATAGTCAGCTCAGTTGGCTCCAGAACTTCGTGATTCTCTCGTCCAATTCCACCAAGATCGGATCGCGCCATAAGCTCGACTCCCACTCAGGAGCAGGAACATCAGAAGGTAAGATTGGTCGGTCAAGAGTGGAGAGCTGAAGTTCGAACTCCAAGGGGTGAGCAAGAGAGGACGGCTTGTAGTAGTAGTGTAATATTAGGTTGTAAGGAAAGTTCTGGCCGTTTTCGATTTCAAGTTCATGGCATTATTTCTGGCTAAGTTTCGACAGACTGCTACGAGTTGCATATCTTTAGAAAGCGCGTTTTTGCTCTATCCAAATGCGCGTAAGCTTTGCTCTAGAGGGACTACTCTACTTATTTAAAGCCTTGAATGCAACATGCTCATCAAGCGAATCCTCACGATTTTCTTCTTCTACCTCGAATTAGGGCAGAAAGGAGCGGAATCAGCCCGAACGCATCCAACTGCATATTGAAGAGCCCATTCCATTCATCAGAAGCTTCATAATAGCCTTCTAGAGCAAGAGAAGATTTTTACACGGGAACAACCTGCACGGATGAGCTAACGAGTTCGTCGACTTATCATGGGCTATTGCAACGTTTTCTGGAACGCTGATCAATGCGGTCTTGCATAATCACAGCTACTGGACGGACAGCTACTGTTTCTAGGAACTATCCACCAATTAACCGATCAAAGAATTTGTGTAGGAGCTTGAGGCTGGAACGATAATGGGATCCTACTTGAGCACTGGGATATTTTGCAGTTTCTTTGGGATATTTTCTGAATATGTACTCATTCGGTCATGATAAGGCGTTCAATTCTGCAAAAGGATCACTTATTAACACGTTGACGACCGCGCTATTTTTCGCTGTCTGGCGTGTGGGACCGCGCGCATTATTTTGACCGCGCGAGTGTGACATGACATCATGTCACACGGTCCCACGAGAACTCCTTTTTCTCAGGAAGTGTGTATTTGTTATCTTTCTTGTGTGGTAGGTCTCCGATTATGCGATTTTGGCCATTTTAGCGATTCCTGTGATTTGATCATTATTCAAACATTTTTAGAAAAACTCGATAGCCCATCAACCGAAGCTTCTTTCCAGGGACCACGCCTTTTGTAACAATGCCTAAGTATGGCGCATACATCACGTAAATAAGTTACCTAAAATGTTTGAAAACCAGCTTAAAAAAGACTGTGACATGACATCATGTCACACGGTCCCACGTGGCCGAAAGGG